ATCCATCTGCCAACATAGGAGACAAAGGTTCAATACTAAGAGTCCCTGGAGATGGAAATGGCAACCAACTCCAGTATTTTTTTTTAACTTACTTTTAACTGAAGGATGATTGCTTTATAGGACTGTGTTGGTGCCTGTCAACACTACAGTATTCTTGCCTCGGAAAACCCATGGACAGAGGAGCCTAAGAGACTACAGTCCAGGGGTCATCAGTCAGGCATGAGCTGGGTGACTAAACAACAATAATCAGGAAAAGGTGTAATACTGAATTAGAAATAGAGTGAAAAAGAAAACCCCAAAACAGATATCAGAATATGTGAGAGTTTAATATATGACAAAGAAAGCGATTTCAATCAAGTGAGAAAAATAAAGGTTTGACACAAAATTGAAACAACCAAAATATTAATCATGGTGGTTTCCTCATGGAAAAAGAAACTTAAGGTAATTTACTTTCTTCTGTTTAACTTATGGCTGCTTCATTTTCCTCCCAGTGAGCCCACATTTAAATAAGCAGGCAAAACAAGACGCTATCATTAGTCAAAACCAAAAAGACATATAATAAAAAAATACCAAGTGGATATTTTATAACCATTCAACTTTTAGACCTTTTAAAAAAGATATGTTTAGTATATTTAAATACAGTTCACAAACATCTTTCCCCCCAAATTTAGCATATCTGCAATTAATTCACAGCTTTCTGAATTTTCTCAACTATATGAGAATGACAACTACCTCTCAGGACTACTGTTTTGATTAAATGAGATTACACACATAAACTTCATAGAGCTTTTAGGGGGAAAAAACACCAGAAAATGCTTGGAGGCTAAAGAATAGAGCTATTATCAATAACCATAAAATAGACATCTTTAAGTGAGGCCTCAGGCTTAAACATTATTTTTCTAAACACCATGAAATGTATGAGAAGAGCATTCAGAACATTAGCAAAAAGAACCAGAATATTACTATCTTAAAATTAAGTACTGAGGGAAAAAAGAAATGCCGTACAGCAATGTCATTCTCTCCTTTCCTAAGGAAAATCAAGCAACTTTTGTCTTTCTGATTCTGTGTTAAGGAAGATACAAGCAAAGAAGTATTTTAAATGACTAAATATCAGAAAAAATCTACATCAAATTTACAGTAAGACAAAAGTAGACAAATTTTTGTTTACAAAGGAGTTCGTTCTAATGTAATGCTTAATTGAAAATTATCAATTACTGTATACCTGTTTCCATTCTAATTGTGATGGGGAGAATTCAAATGCTGTAAAAATTGATTTATATTTGATTCCTGTATCTCTTATTACCCCTTCATGGATTACAGCCTAGCCATGGCGAAGGGGATTGGGTAACTCAATAAAAGCTCTGAGCCATGCCCTACAGGGTTACCCAAGACTGGTAAGTCATAGTGAAGAGTTCTAACAAAACGAGGAACAGCAAATCACTCCAGTTCTTGCCAGGAGAACCCCACCAACAGTATGAAAAGGCAGAATGATATGACACTGGAAGATGAGCCCCCATGTCAAGAAGGTGTCCAGTATGCTACTGGAGAAGAGCGATGAATCGCTCCAGAAAGAACGAAGCATCTGTGCCAAAGTGAAAAACCACCCTCAGCTGTGGATGTGTCTGGTGGTGAAAATAAAGTCCGATGCTGTAAAAAAACACTGCACGGGAAACAGGAATGTTAGGTCCATGAATCAAGGTAAATTGCAAGTGGTCAAACAGGAGATGGCCAAGAGTGAACACTGACATTTTATGAATCAGTGAACCAAAACTGATGGCAATGGCTGAGTTTAATTCAGATGACCACTGTATCTACTACTGTGGGCAAGAATCCCATAGAAGAAATGAAGTACCCCTCATAGTCAACAAAAGAATCAAAATGCAGCATTTGGGTAAAATCTTAATAACAAGAGAATCAACTCCATTCATCTCCAAGGCAAACCATTCAATGTCACAGCATGTCTATGTGCCAACCACTAATACCGAAGAAGTTGAAGATAACTGGTTAATTTAGAACATCTTCTAGAAATACTGTTAAAAAGAAAAAGTACTTTTCATCATAGGGGGTTGGAAAGCAAAAGTAAAAAGTCAAGAGATACTCAGAATAACAGGCAAGTGTGGACTCAAGAGTACAAAATGAAGCAGGGCAAAGGCTAACAAGAGTTTTGTCAAGAGAACACGCTGGTCATAGCCAACATTTCAACAACCCAAGAAACACATCTATATATGAACATCATCAGATGGTCAATACCAAAATCAGAGTGATTATATTACTTGTAGTCCAAGATGGAGAAGCTCTACACAGTCAGCAAAAACAAGACCTGGAGCTGACTATGGCTCAGATCATGAGCTCCTTATTGCAAAATTCAGGCTTACATGGAAGGAAGTAGGGAAAACCACTAGACCATTCAGATAGGACCTAAATCAAATTCCTTATGATTATACAGGGAAGTGACAAATAGTTAATGGGTTAGATCTCACAGACAAGAGTGCCTAAAGAACTATGGATGGAGGTGTAACACTGTATAGGATGCAGTGATCAAAACCATACCCAAGAAAAAGAAACGCAAGAAGGCAAAGTGGTTATCTGAGGAAGCTTTACAAATAGCTGAGGAAAGAAGAGAAGTAAAACGCAAGGGAGAAAGGTAAAGGTATGCCAAACTGAGCACAGAGTTCCAGAGAACAGCAAGTGGAGATAAGAATGCCTTCTTAGATGGGCGCGATGAAGGACAGAAATGATTAAGGACCTAACAGAAGCAGAAGAGATTAAAAGGAGGCAACAACACACAGAAAAACTATACATATATATAAAAGGTCTTATTGACCCAGATAACTATGATGATTTAAAAAAATCTGGATGTTCTAGGTGGTCACTCACCTAGAGCCAGATATCCTGGAGTGTGAAATCAAGTGGGTTTTAAGACACATTACTACAACAAAGCTAGTGGAGGTGACAGAATTCCAACTGAGTTATTTAAAACCCTAAAAGATGATGCTGTTCAAGTACCACACTCAACATGCCGACAAATTTGGAAAACTCAGCAGTGACCACAGTTCTGGAAAAGGTCAATTTTCATTCCAATCCCAAATAAAGACAACACCAAAGAATATTCAGACCAACGAACAACTGCACTCATTTCACATGCCCGCAAGGTAATGCTTAAACCCCTTCAAGCTAAGCATCAGCAGTACATGAACCAAGTATCTCCAGATGTACAAGCTGGGTTTAAAAAAGGTAGAGGAACCACAGATCAAATTGCAAAGGTTCACTGGTCATGAAGAAAGCAAAGAAATTCTGGAAAAATATCTACTTCTGTTTCATGTGCTGCTTGTGCTAAGTTGCTTCAGTCATGTCCGACTCTTTGCGACCCCATGAACGGTAACCTGTCAGACTCCTCTGTCCGTGAGATTCTGCAGGCATGCATACTGGAGTGGGTTACAATTTCCTTCTCCAACTTTTGTTTCACTGACTTAAGATTGTAGGGACCACAGCAAACTGTGGGAAATTCTTAAAAGAGATGGGAATAGAGCCCACCTTACCTGTCTCCTGAGAACCTATATGTAGGTCAAGAAGCAACAGTCAGACATGGAACAACGGACTGGTTCCATATTGGGAAAGGACAACAAGGCTGTATATTGTCACCCTGCTTATTTAACTTATATGCAGAGTACATCATGCGAAATGCCAGACTGGATGAATCTCAAGCTAGAATCAAGATTGCTGGGAGTAATACCAACAACCTCAGATACGCAGATGACTCCACTCTTAACGGCAGAATGTAAAGAGGAACTAAAGAGCCTCTTGACAAAAGTGAAAGAGGAGAGTGAAAAAGCTGGCTTAAAACTCAACATTCAAAAAACTAAGATCATGGCATCTGGTTCCATCACTTCATGGCCAACAGAAAGGGAAAAAGTGGGAACAGTGACAGACTACTTTCTTGGGCTTCAAAATCACTGCACATGGTGACTGCAGCCATGAAATTAAGACGCTTGGTTCCTTGGAAGGAAAGCTATGACAAACCTAGACAGTGTATTAAAAAGCAGACATCACTTTGCCAACAAAGGTCGGCAGAGTCACAGCTATGGTGTTTCCAGTAGTCATGTACAGATGTTAGACTTGGATCATTAAGAAGGCTGAGCCTGAAGAATTGATGCTTTCAAATTGTGGTGCTGGAGAAGATTCTTGAGAATCCCTTAGACTGCAAGGAGTTCTAGCTAGTCACTTCTAAAGGAAATCAATCCTGAATATTCATTGGAAGGAGTGATGCTGAAGCTTAAGCTCCAATACTTTCGCCACCTAACGCGAACAGCCAACTGACTGGAAAGGACCCTGATGCTAGGAAAGATTGAGGACAAGAGGAGAAGGGGACAGCAGAGGATGAGATGGTCAGATAGTGTCACTGATTCAGTGGACATGAATTTGAGTAAACTCAGAGAGTGGAGGACAGGGGAACCTGACGAGTTGCAGTCCATGGGGTTGCAAAGAGCTGAACATAATTTACTGACTGAACAACAACAATCTCTCATTAAGTCCCAGGAAAATTATTTTTTAAAATAAATCATTCAAATAATTTTTCACTCTTTGCCACAGAAAAGAAAGGAAAAGGGTTCAACTGAGTAGATGATCTCTAAAACAGAATAAGGATTAGTCTTTCCTGGTGGTCCAGTGGTTAAGAATCTGCCTGCCAGTGCAGGGGACATAGCTTTGATCCCTGATCAGGGAAAACTCCACACACCTTGGGACAACTAAGCTGGTGCATCTCAACTACTGAGTCAGTGCTATACCACCCATGCTTTGTAACAAGAGAAGCCACCACAAGAAGCAGCCCCTGGACCACAACTAGAGAGGAGCCCTCACACGCCGCAAGCAGAAAAAGTACATGCACAACAAAGACGACTCAGCACAGCCAAGAGTAAATAATAAATAACATTTAAAATACAAAGAATCAATGTAGCAGGTAAACAATTATAAGGAAATAAATATATTCCAATGGTACTTACTGCGCCAGAAGCTGTACCTAAAGAAAAAATAAGGGAAGAGTATTACAATATGATAAATCATGCTGTCCTTGAGTTAACAGTTTTAAAATATTTATTCATACTACTTTTTCTCCTCATACCATCACACTAAGTATCCTAAGACTGTCCCATATGACTTATGTGCTTGCTCTCTTTCCCACAAAAACAAAACATCCATAGTGCAAAGCACTTTCAGAATTAAGTTGGCACCTTGAACTTTCAATCTACAAACTCACTTGATAGCCGTTAGAGAAGCTAACAGCTTGCCTTTTGTTTCTCCTCTTTCTATTATTATAGCTGTCCCATCTTGACTAATTCCTATTTCTTTGCTATACTGCTGATAGTAATGAATGTGTATAGTAATATATAGTAATGAGTGTTTCAGACCTCTGATACTATTCTTTAAAGTGAAAGCCACTCAGTCGTGTCTGATTCTCTGTGACTCCATGGACTGTAGCCTGCCAGACTCCTCTGTCCATGGAATTCTCCAGGCCAGAATACTGGAGTGGGTAGCTGTTTCCTTCTCCAGGGTATCTTCTCAACCCAGGGATCAAACCCAGGTCTCCTGCATTGCAGGCAGATCCTTTACTGCCTGAGCCACCAGGGAAGCCCTCTATGCTTTAGGTTTATGACAATTTCAATTATCTAGGTTCCAAAACACATGCTATATAATACTGGATCCTTTGGCCATCACATATCCCTGTTTAAATTAGATTAAGTAAAATTTTAACGCTCAGTTCCTCCTGTGCACTAGCCACATTTCAATACTCAATAATTACATGTGGCTATACATGACACTACAGATTACAGAACTCCTTCCTTGCAGAAAGTTCTATTAGATGGTACTATCTTAAACTACTACCAAAGCCCTCTTAAGACATAAAAGGAAATCCACATTAGTTACAAAGTTCATACAAATAATCATTAATTTTAGAAACAAGTAGCTTAAAATTATATGTAAAAAAACAATGACTGTAAAAAGAAAACAAAACTAAGTACATAGATACTAAACAGCAATCAAAAGCAGCTAGTATGAAATATCAGTAAGAGAGCCAGAGCATTTAAAAACTAAAAAGAAAATGTTAAGGTAATTTTCCAGGATTATTTACGGTAATAGTAACCAGCTCGATACCTAAATAGACCTAAACTACTATTCTAAAGTGTATCAGAATATCGTGACAGCTTAAATGATGAAATCCATGAAACATCTTAAAAAGATTAACTATGACCCATATAAACCCACATACTGCATTTTAAACGTGTTTCAACTGATAATGTTTAAAAGAAAAAATGTTTTGGCAGAATCATGGGACAAAGTATACCATCTAGAATACATGAAACATTACTTGTACATAATTGAAGCGTTATTATTATATATTAAAGTCATACTATTATTTACAACACTTATAGGTAACCTGCTGGAAAAAAAATATGCATTATCAGAGGACTTACAAACTACACAGACCAAGCAGGTATCAAAAAAATGACTGAAGTAGTCCAGAAGGCTGAGAGTGCATACTTGATATCTGAACTATGGAGTCCCTATCCCATTCCACAAGGTTTGCTGAATATAAATATGGACTCAACCAAAGTTTTTCATTCAAATATTCTTTGAGTATCCACTGTACTGAGAAGGACCACTATAAATATTAAAAGTACAGATCATCCAACTTTAAAATAAATTCAATCTTTGTGTCAAATGATAAATTCAACTTTATATAAGCCTGCAGATTTTAATGTTAGCAACTAATTATAAAATTTAAAAACATTGTCTGAGCCAAAGTATATCCTGTAGACCAAATCTGGCCCCAGAATTCCATACCTAAAATTATGACAATTTCTTATGGATTTAATTATGAATGCTATTAAAAAAAAAACAAAAACTGGGAGCTGATTATAATGCCCAAGAGACACTGTTTTATTCCTCATTCGAGGATGGTTGTGACTGTCTACATTAAGTCTAGTGTATCACCATAAATGGTATACATACCTGCTGCTACATCCATATTATTTACTCCTGGCTGTAAGAATAAAAAGTGAATTTAGTAACATTTACTTTGCACAAGCTATATTTTATATACAATCCTCATAAAGCATAGTCAACCAACCCCTTCTCTAAGTGTGGCATTAAAACTCATCACAGTGGCCAAAGCTATCCTGAGTAACTGGAATTCTTTAGTCTTATTTATCCCACATCAGAATAAACATCTCTCTGTTCTGATTTAGAAATATGTGTTAGAAATTAAAGGGCACTGGCCAAGACCCCGTGGGAAATTTTTACATAATTATTATATACTATATGCAGTGTACTACTTTGTAATATTAAAAACAAACTTTGAAATGTATCTGCCCCTAGGGGTTTTGGAGAAGTCACTGCAAACCTACTATTCCAGTGGAGTATGCCACATCTGTTCATTAAAATTAACCAATAAGTAAGTCACACTAATTTTAATATCATAATGATTTCTATATTGCTATACTATCTAATAGTCTAATAGGGTGATAAGATTATTCAAGAATTTTCTAAGTAATGTGCCATAGCTGAAGTCTCATGAAATGTGGATTTCAAATGAAATCTGATTTCTAAATTTAGGATCCAGTATTAAATCACATCACATCAACTTTTAATCAGCGCTCAGTAGAGCATATGTCTACTGTTTAAGATTAGAATGCTACCAGAGCAATTAAATGCTTCTAGCTAACAATTCATGCTTTTCAGAATTCTAGACTTGCTTAATGTAGAATAACTAAGGATGTATATCTATTATAAATAACTTAAAAAGTCCTTGTAATTCCCATCTTATAGTACTCGGGAGGCTCTTAAATGACTAACATGAATGCCTGCAAAATATATATGCTGTTTCATACACAAAAGAAATCAAAACATCACACAAAAAGTTATTTTCACAAGATTACCGGTAAGGCAGGCTGCATGGAAGCCTGAGACATATGAGACATCATCATTCCAGGCATTACTGAAGACATCATTCCAGGCATCTAGAACAAAAGTAAAAAAAAGTTACTATGTAAAACCAAAGCACCTAATAAGATTTCAAGAATCTGGTTATTAAAGCAACTGTGTACAATTTAAGATTAAAACCCAATGAATACTATACTAGATGAATAGCATGCTTAGTAAGTGCTTGTTGAATGAATGAAGTTATTTTATTAACAATCTATTTGTGTGTGTGTCATCATAATTACTTTAACAAGTACATTTAAAAGTTGAGATTATGTGGTATTTGTAACCTAAAATTTAAGAATATTCATTTCCTTTTAACTCAAAACCAACGCTTTTTACCCTTCTTTGGAGAAGGCAAAAATTTTTTTTCAGCGTTTCTCACCTTTGTTTTTTAATATCTGTATTAAATAATTTTCATATTCATCTGGTCTTTTTAAAAAAACCTCTTAAGTCAAAGGTGCTTGTAACTTCTGGACTTTAAACAAATACATAAGCAATAGACTTTTCAAACTCAAATCTATGCTCACATCTATAAAGAAAAACCTAAAGCATATATACATATGCATATCTGAAAAAAGAAAGTATTAGCTTGATAGCTTAATCTCATCTACCAATGACTGTCATCCAAACCTATGAATAAATCTTCACTACAATGAATAAAAATCACAAAAACTGACACAAATTTCCAAAGGATTTGTCATATATTTAGTACAATCTCACATCATAATTTTAATATGAACAAATCTAAGGAAAACATGAAGAGAGATAAAATTATATAAAACAATCACAGGTACTAGAACAAGGTAACCAGTTATTCAGCAGTTTCAAACTAAATGAACAACCTAAAAAATAGGAACAAAAAAGAAGCATATTGGTTCACAGGAACATATAAAGCCTACTGAAAGTAGAGGAGAACACTCAAACACCGATGTTTATTACTTGTGAAAGTCAGTCAACTCATGATGCAAAACCAGGCTAAGTATCATTAAAATGAAGTTGCATGGTATTTATGGATGAAAAAAATTAACAAAAAAAGCCCTTTCTTCTTCAAAACATTCAATAAATTGTTTAAACATCACTAAACAAGAACTTGACAGAAAACATGTGACTAGAATTTGAAATATAGGTCAAATAATGTTTTCTTTTTTAAAGTACAGAATTTCAAAACAAATTACTGACGAGCCTCTACAACCCCATGACTAACAGAATTAGGCTTTTTCTCCTTCTTCCTTCAACAGATATATCCTCACAATTAATTCTGCTTTAGGCTAACAGCAAAGAACTAAGTAACAAATTATGAGGGGAAGCATAGTGGGGAACAGAGAGAAATGGCCTGCTATTAAAATGGTCTGTATATAAAATCAGAAGCTAGTAACACATCCCCAAACTAGGATTCTAAGCCAAACAGAGAAACCAAAGTCTTTTCTCTTAAGAATTAAAGACACTGAAGGGAAAAGATAAATTGGGAATATGAGATGAACAGATGCACACTATTATATATAAAATGAACAGCAAGGACTTACTGTACAGTCCAGAGAACTATATTCAACATCGTGTAATAAACTATAATGAAAAATAAAAAAAAAGAATATACATATATATATACGTATAACCAAATCACTGCACTGTACACCTGAACTAATATAATACTGTAAATCAGCTAGACTTCAATTAAAAGAAAAATAAATTCCACATTAATACCAAAATTGTAGCTACAAAGACTTTTGTGGCAACATGTAAAATGCTTATGACTGGGAAAAAGTGATAATCAAAATAGTACATACACTATGATTAAAATTTTGAAACACAGATGTATATACCATAAAATCTGGAATAAAATTTACCAGAAATGATAATATGGGTTATTTATTTCTCATTCTACTTTTCAAACCTTCTGGAGTGATGTCTTTAAAACTAAACAACCAAACTGAAAGAATTCTGTCCTAATTTTACTTCTTAAAAAAAGGATTAAAGACATTTTAAAAGTGGGGTAAAATCTCCATCATGCAATAGAGTATTTCCACATGACGGAAGTACAAATGACTGTACAAATAAATTAAATTGCAAACTGAAATACTCTACTTCAGTAAGACACCGTGATCAAAGCCCATCTTAAAACAAAGCACAAAAGGGCTTACATATAACAAAAATTTTACTAGACCATGTCAATGAGATAGCAAAGAATATCTGAAGACAATTTGACAGAGTTCTCTCAACTGTTCTTCTTCCCACACTTCAGATTTTAAAACATCTCAAAAATTTGCCTTTATAGATTAGTACTCGTGCTACTGGTTACATGATGAAATTTAATGTGAAATAAAAAGTTAAATTCTCCCTCTGAATCTCTGTATATTTTGAAGGGTGGCAACCAGTTAAAAGCTTGTTCATCCTAACAAACACTGGTAAGATTCTTAAATTATGTACAACTCAGGCAAGAACACTGGACTGGGTTGCCATTTCCTTCTCCAGGGAATCTCCCCCGACTCTGGCATCCAACTTGCATCTCTCCTGCATTGGCAGGCGGGTTCTTTATCACTAGTACCACCTGGGAAGCCCTCTAAAAGTAAACAAATCTTTAGTTTAATTCTAAACCTAAACTGTTATGTTATTAACATGAAACCAAGGGACAAAAACATAAATACGCAAAGTACTGTTTCTCATGAAAAACTATTACAAGAGCTCTTAAAATTAAGAGCTCCTACAGAGACTTGCACATCATAGAAAAGCTTGTTTCTCAAAGTCTGAAAAATCTATTTTGCTGAACTGCTACGATTTCCACTCTGCATTAATTCTAGGATACACCTAATATGGAGGTGCACGTGTCAACCTGCCTGACTGAAGCTGAATTCCTTTGGAGGATTTGTGTTGACTGACGCCAGTCACTTGGCAGCATCATCAATCTGAGACCATTAAATTTTTCTAAGTTATTTATTTGTTTTAACACCACAATGGTAATGGGAATCTAGGCTGCAAGCTTATGACAGAACTGGCTTGTGGTTTAAATCCTCAGGAGTGACTTTTTTGCCTTATGGCAACCCGCTCCAGTTTCCAGTTGCCTAGAAAATCCCATGGACGGAGGAGCCTGGTGCAGGCTACTGTCCATGGGGTCACAAAGAGTTGGACACGACTGAGCGATTTCACTTCACTTTTGCCCAATTAGCAAAGTCGAGACATCTGAGTTGCTCTGCGGTCCCTTTTTACACGGCAGACTGTCTCTTGCTTCACAGGCAGGGAACAGCCCTTTGGCATCCCGACTGTATCCAGACTTCTCATTTAAGCTCGTTTTCTCTCACTCAGGGCATGTAATATTCTGTTGCCCAAGAGTTTGGATTTTTCCAAAAATCTGAACAAACTCTTTGGCCAATACAATATAATGGAATTTCTCATCAATAATGAGATCTTAAGTTCAACAAAGACAGGATATTCATTCAAAATGGTTAAAGGGAACAATTCTTGCACAGTTGCTACAATAATGCCACAACAAATTCCATAAGGCAGCTCCTCTTAAAGCTTCAAAGTGGTAGCTTACACTAAGCTTGCTGAGAAGCACACTAAAAAATTACAAATGACCCTGTAGAGCTTCACAATTTCTACTTACGCTACTTTAGCAAATATATGAAGTGCTACAATTAAGAACTTTTAGTTGTTAGGAGACAAAGAAAGAATGAGAAGGGTGAAAGGCATACGTGAGATATAAACTAAACTGCCTAAAATATTAAGCATCTAAATATAATGGACACTTTGGCACCTTTAAAAAAATAACTCATACACAACTTGATATGCTTTTTCAAAGTAGGCAGGCAATGATTTGAGTGATATGTTTCTCTTTTTTTAATGATAAAAGTTAAATCAAGAAAATCTCTTGAAAATTCTAAGAATCATCCATTTGCAGAATATAAAAAAATGAGTAAAAACTAGGGAGCACCACACAATCCACTCAGTCATTCTTAGCATCCTAGTTTAGAAAATTTCTCATGTTAGACAAAAACAAGCATGACTCATTGATCACTCTAGATATTTTAATTTTTAAAAAAAATTCAGTAATAAAAGCAATCCTGTTAATGCTATAGCAAATTAGTTACACAAAATGTAAATTAGCCCTATTTTATTATGATATGAAAACAAAAGTGCACATCTTCACGTTGGCACCTCAAAATTTCTTTTCTTCATAATTATTTCCTGAAGTTTCTCCTGTTGGAAAGAAATCACACAACCTAACTTATTTTTTGTCTAAATATTAACTCTTGAATTTGGTTGGCTTTTAAAAGACCACTCTTGCTCCCCTTGTAGCTGGAAACTGATTACTTAGATAGTTTGAGTCTCGCCTTTACATTTGGTTCCTTTTAAATGTGGTAAAGTTAATTCCACAACACACTCTACAGAGCCTAGTAAGTATAGTATTTAAAGACAACTATTTCCTATACCACTAACTTACCTTATATATAAATAAATGAATGCAAAATATAAGTTTTGAATAAATGTGACAACTACATCTTTGAATGTAACTAAATGTTCATTCAATTGGAAATAAATAGAAACACCTCTTTAAAGCATATTCTTAACAACCCAAAATGAGTGGCTGCATTCTGGGACAATCATTTACTTCCTCTTCATCTACAGTTATAAATAAACTCCAGACATCTGTCACTTTCTGATATAACATTTAAACAAAAAAATAGATAATATTTGCAAAACCACTTCCACATGGAGTAAAACCTTCCATTTAATAAGTCAACTTCCAGTAGTCATTATTAGTTTGCTAAATTCTTTTAACCTGAAGACTTTAGAATCACTGAAGTAAAACACTATTCCTTCAAATTCTAAAGTGTAACGTAATGGCAATCTCATACAGAAATACAAGGAAGCAGCCTAGTACATCTATTAAGTATACTCTGGAATCAGATTGCCAGAATTCCTACCCCAGTTGTGTAACCCTGGGCAACTTTCCTTAACCCTCAATTTCCTCACCCACAATACGAGGAAAAATAGTACTCATCTGATAGGATTGTTGTAGGAATTAAAGGGAATAATACAT